CATACGATCTCGTCGACCCCTAACTCGTTTTCGCTGATCCTCTCGGTAGTGGCGGTGGTAGTGGCGGACTACTAAAATCCCCGTTATATACTCGAATGTCGAATCCAGAGGACAACGGGCGGCGCGTCGGGAATTATCTCTGCCGTGTCGAGAATTCGTCGACGATCAAAGGATTAGAATTCTGCGGGATGTGAATATTTTCCCAACCTGATGTCAAACGTCGCCGTGATACATCATCCGAGGAAAAGCAACGTGACGCGGCAACGTGAATCATCGCGTCGTCGGACACGCCGAGAGAGCGTGTCAGAGGACAACCTCCCGCTCGTTCCGTTTCCGCACTCGTGGAAATTTCGCATAGACCACAGCCCAGCCCCGGCATGGCGTCGCGCCGCGCCGCGCCGCGCCACGCCGCGCGCGAATGGCGCCATAAATTCACGTGTCGTTCTGAAACGTTTACCCTTCCGCCGCTGAATCGCATTTACGACCGTAATTACTTATCCCGGATAATTTAGTCGCCAGCTGTATTCATTGATATCACACGTACATATACAGGGTGTCTGATAATTATTATGACAGAGTTTGTGGACATGTAGAACGGACTAAACTGAGACGAAAAAAAAATTCTCTATCATTTTGCAATTTTCGTAATAGTTAACAAGATATCAATTGCTAAAAATTGCTGAAAATTGATCTTCAATAATTTTTTATTCAAATACTATCAACTTTATAGAAAAACTGCAAGAAATAAAAATTGTTTATTTTCTTCTAGAACTCTATGAATTTTTTCAAAATTTTTTATCAACTTTTTAGTACTGCATTTCTCATTTTTATCAACATGAGAAAATACAGTATTATATAAAAAATTCTAAAAAAATTCTTAGAGCTCTATGAGAAGAAAATAAACAATTTTTGTCTCTTGCAGTTTTTAAAAAATTATTGAACCAATTTTCAGCAATTTTTAGCAATTAATATTTTGTTAACTATTGCGAAAATTGCAAAATGGTAGAGGACTTTCCGTCTCAATTTAGTCCGCTCTACATGTCTACATTCCGTCAGAACAATTATCGGACACCCTATATACGTCCCTGTATCTCTATAATCTGCTGCTTTCTGTAATTTTCAACTTACGAATATTGTTGCTATCACACTGAAAAAAAAATTAAATTTTTTAAAGAAATATTTGTTTAAATAGTTCTAAGTAAATATTTATGCTAAATGCAAACATATTTATTATACAAAAACTTAATTTAACTATATATAATTTATATATTAAGTAAATATTTACTTAGTGCTATTAAAAAAAATATGTATTAAGATTTAATTTTTTTTCAATGCGTGTCCCGAGGGAATTAACATGACTGTTGCGCGGTTTCCGTGTTTTTAATTTAACGCTTCATAGTTGAGTTTAACCGCGTCAAGAAGCAGCTTGAAATAAGATATTACTCTCTATCGGAAACAATAATCACCTTTGTGATTTACATTGCAAATCAAAATATATAATAAGTGTCTTCATATATGTATGACTTCGTTAAAAAATAACACATTATACTCTCTTTGCATATACAAAACTAGATTTATACATTTAAACATGTGATATAATATAATATTACTTTTACAAGGAAAATTAAATTCAATACATATATGAAAACACTAATTACGTACTGGATTTACGGTGTAAGCGAGAAGCAAAAATGATAATTCAATTGTATGAAAATAGTGCCGTATATATCTATTGTTAATTTTACGAACTACTCGCGCAAATTGATGCCAAACAGGGAAAGAGAGAGAATAGTCATTCGTCTCTCATTTTTATCTTCTCGCTTCTACCCGCTTCGAAGAAGCAATCTAAGTTCGCGTGTCTCGCCGCCGATGCTATCGCGAACGAGCACGTACAAGACGCTTTCCACGATGGATCTGCCGGCAGAAGCGAGGAAGGTGCGCAGCATTCCCATTGTCGGAGTACGAGTTCGGTAGGAGAGGAAGAGAGAGGCTGACACTCCGCGTAAAGACGCGTTCTTTACCACCGTAATTCCGTTTCTCACCGCGCGCAAACAGCCGTGGCTAGCTTTCTGCGCGACTGCAGTTTTTACCACTGGCGTTTAGGAAAGTATTTACGATCTCGCGTGAGGCGATTGTCATAATCGTATCGTTGGTGCGCGAATAACGGTGCTCGTCTATTTACTTGCTACGTAATAAAAAAACATATTAAACAAAATATTATCTTTGTCGTTTCGTCTGTCGCTTATGGCTGATTAAAATTAACAGATAGCAATGGGTTTGCGCGTTCTTGTGAGATTATTCGCGAGATAAATGTCGCTAAATGTGTAAAACTGTTTATATATGATTCTTTGATGTACTTGCTTCGACAGTACTAAAATTGAAACATGATTCTTTAAGAAGCCCACCACGCACAAAATGACATAAACTGCAAAAAATATTCTCTTGTGATAATAATTTTAAAATATATTTATTACGAATTTAAAAATCTTATTATTATTTACTCAAAGAATTTCTTTTCTTTTTAAAAATGTTATAAAATTGATCAAAGAAGCGATTTTTATGTAATAAGTGAATCGAATTTATTTTAATTTAATAATATTAATTAAAGTATTTTAAATTCACTAAAGAATTCAGAATATATTTTGCTTACATAAACTTTTCAAACTTGAAACAATAATTATTATTATTATATAGTTTATAGTTTATTTATTATTATTATATATAGTATTATTATAGTTATATAATTTATTTATTATTATATAGTATTATTATATAGTATGTATTTTTCAATGTAGCTTATATCAATTTGTGTGATAGACTTAAGATTATAGTGCACAAAAAACTTAGTAATCATAGGTAATAAGCAAATTGGCTAATCATAGTAGAAACCGTAAAGCAATAATGTAAGCTATAGCAAATTCAAAATATTAACTTGCTTACTGCTTAAGTTTTTTGTATGCTATAGTTTTAATCATGTGTCGAGTTAATCTTAGAACGCTATCAATACATAAATTTTACGTATTTTAAGTAAGCGAGATTATTAAGCGCTAAGTTATACCTTCAGTAGTCACGAAAAGATCCAATCTGTCATGTTAAAAACTAGGACAAGCGAGGACAAGCTTTTAAAAATTCAATCCGTCTTATGTATATCAGATTAAACTCTTTGATTAGTATTATAACAGAGAGCATGATAAGTGATTTCATTTTTTAAGCAGTTTTACGTTATTATATGTACATTTTATTGATAATGTGTCATGAGAGACTTTACAAGGTTTGAATCGAATATGTTTATTCTTTTCTTTTAAGTTAATAATTAAGTTATTTATATTTCTAAAGAGAGAGATATCATTAAAAATGTGAAACGTATAAAAATTTTGTGTTATATTAATTAAGAATGGTCTATTTCTTTCGTATGTAAGATTTATGTATCGATAGTACATTCTAGGTTTGAACTTTGATTATTCGCCTTTGAAGGTATAATTGATATTTTGATTATGAATTTTTGATCCTGAATTGGAAAAATTTAAGTAAAGGTCTATAAAAAAATAAGTAAAACACGGCCTTCTATGATAATAAAAATCCACGTTGTTAAAGCTTTTACAAATTCAACGCTTTAAGCAAGAATTTTTTCACATTTTCCATACAATACAGAACAATTTAATCTGCACTGAAACTTAAAAACAATAAAAATATTGATAAAAGTTGCTGATGGAAGTTATAAAATTTCATATAGCCGAAGGTTAATATTCCACGGAGATTGATAGGATAACATTGCGTGTTATAGAACATGTACAAAAGTAATATAATAAATATAATCATACTTATACATCGTCCATCTACTGTCAAGCAACTTTCGCATTACAAGACTGCCTGGGAATGTTCACATGGGCTACGCTTTAATAAATTTTCTATTAACAAGCTTAAGGAGACAGTAAAGCAACTTCGATCGACACACGGATATAAAAGTTTCGTTAAACCATAGAAATGTTTAATCACATTGGTCGCTAAGTCAGAAACTCCGAGTTACTCGACCAATATAATTAAACGAACAACAGACAGTACATTTAAACGTATCAACGCTAATTAATAACGAGGCTCAAAGAAACTCTAGAGTAGTCTCTGCCGCGAGCAATGATAACGGTGCTTTCGTCGTAGTTTTCGCTCGAAAGAATTTCTGCACGGAGGAAGCGCCGAGAAAAAGTTCGCAAGTAAAAGCGGAAAGATCACCGGGGAAAATAAGATAAATGCAATCTCCTTTCTTAATTTCTGGATTAACGAAGAACGACAGAACGCAGAGAAGGGCTTGAAGCTTTTACTTGAAAATCGACAGAAATCGAACGTGGGTTTCGCGAAAAAAGCGACCATGATTTGTCCTCCCAGGAGATCGGACTCGTTGAAAAATCTTGCCGCGTATTTCCTTGTTTAATTTCCATAAAAAGGTAGAATACATTCCAGAGAAAAAGAGAGCGAGATACATTCATAAGTATTATATCGTCATTAAGAAAAATTCGCACGACACTGTCCTCCGCAGCAGTCATGTATCACTTCTCATCAGTTTCGATTAACGAGAAATCGAGACTGCTTATCTCATGAAGGCGTGACATAATATCGCTCCCTTGAAGATCGGATGCGCCGGAGGTGAACGATACCAGAATAGTAAATCGATTCTATACGAGATAGCCTTGCGTATTGGCGAGAAGATTGACTTATTGATCGAGCATGAGCCTCCCGTCGAGCCGGGTAAGTGAACTCGACATTGGATACAGCCCGACGATCATACGTCTCGCAACATCTGATCTCGTGTTTGTCCGCGGAGGAGTGTTCAGGTGTTGTTCAATCAGTCTTCAGAGAGAGCCGCTGATATTCCGCGTCTTACATTTTATCGAAAAATTGATTTATGTAACATTTCATGTATCATGTGAGACAAAGGAATTTCATCGCGCGATAGTTTTAATTCTGCAATAATTATTTAAATAATAATTAAACTTTTATGGACTTACCTTCAAAATGTTTTCTACGTCTGGAGTATCAATCGATGCTCGCGAGTTAGACCCCTGAAAAAAGGAAGATTAAATAAAATTAGTTGTGATTGTCGTAACTTGTCTATCTTTATATACTGTATTTTTATTAATCAGCGGTGTCAACAAATTTTATAACTTTTCCCCAATTACTAGATAAAATTTTATGACTTTCCTCTTTCAATAATATTTTGAAATTTTTTTCTATTTTCGTCCTAGAGGTCAATCATGTAACTTTTTTCCTAGAGTGAAAACGTCAAAAGTGAATTTTTATATATATATATATATATATATACACATATATACGTGTATATGTACATACATGCATAGATAAAAATTTTTATACTTCCGTCCTAGGGAAAAAGTTATGTGACTAACTCCTGATTTGAAACCGTCAAATATTTTGTTGAAATCAATTTAACCAATGTAAATTCTTATTAATGTTGTCACTTAATTGTTAATATTGCTTGCATTTTTAATTATTAGGTTGGTAATATTATAAAACTGCGTTGGTAAATGTACGTATGTTAAAATTTTTCAAAGCAAAGAATTTTAATTTTCCAGAAAATTTCGCAAAATTCTTTTATTTTTCCCTTTCCCATATTTATAAGTCGATTTGAAATCGATTGATTTTAGGACCATTTGATTTGATACTTACCAGATTTTCTATTGATTTTTAGAAGAAAATCGACATTTTATCGATACAGCATTGATAAAATATCGATCTTCTTCGAAGATCAATAGAAAATATAATCAATATCAAATCAAACAGTCCGAAAAATCAATCGATACCGATTTGATTTCGATACCAGATTTACAAACCAGGATTAATTTGCCTGACCACTTTCAATTTTTCTGATATAATTTCCAGTTTTGTGGCAACCCTGCTAATATATTAATGTATTAATTAAAATTAAATTAATATACAATATTTAATATTAATAAATAATATTTAATATTAACCCTATTTTAATTTGAATAAGTATCCGAAATTAAATAGACTTCATTTCTTCGACAGATCGATATCTCTTTTCGCATGCATAAAAAGCAAATTCAAGATATCTCATACGCGTTCGCGGGATTAATTTATACAAACGAACGTATCCTTCCTCGTGAAATTCCTCCGCGATTTATGACGAGCCTCCTCGAGCGATCATTAATCAACATCGCTAAGAAGAGAAGGCATTGAAAAGGGTGTAGAATGAGACGAACGGGAGGACACATCCTGAAAGGTAGTATTACAGACAACTTCGAGTAGTCATTCCTGGAAAGAAAATGCGTGAACAATGGAGAATGCGTGAGGATGGCTCGAGCGCCGGATGATGGGAGGAAGAAGGGTGACAGGGATGCGAGGAAAGGGTTGAGAGTGTCTACTAACTTTTAGCCGGAGGACACCGCGTCGCGGAGAATGGAGCGAAAAACGGAGGCAGACGAAACTGGATAATCACAGAAAAGGAATGAGCGAAAAATGAGAAAACCCGAGAGAGAGAGAGAGAGAGAGAGAGAGAGAGACAGAAAGCTAGAAAAAGAAGAAGATAGAGATATATTTGTACATATTATTATACTTGCGAGCAACGAGACGCGATAAATAGAGAAATGTTTAAATTACAGTAATGTTTAAATTACGAATTTGAAAGAAATTAATAACCTTCAAACTTGTTTATGAACAATTCATAATCGAGTAGGATTTAATTATTTCGATTTTATTTTTGCACTATACCGACAGTTAATTAAATTATTTCCGACAAAAACACGCAAACACGAATTACTTTTTGAACAGAAATATCAGATATTTATGAAGGAATAAAAAATGTGAATCAGAATAAAAAAATGGAGAGAAAATGACGCAAGAAAGATTCAAGATACATTATTTCATTAACAACGTACTTAGGTTGCGAATTTATTCCCCGGTTGACAACCGCATCCCTCTTTTTTCCATTTACCTTTCTTTATACGTAATTCCAAACTAATTTCGCGGATGAGGACGAATGGCCAACGACTCGAACGATCCGACGGCATCCATTGTCAAAGAAAGAAGAAAAAGAATGCCGGACCTATAGAAGGAACGGCGAAGGGACGGACGAGAATCAATTTTCCAGGAGAACGCGAAGGAGGGAGGAGAAACGGGATGCTCCTCACACTCCAGATCGGTCTTAATTGTATAAGTACATCCGAAGAAAGAGAGGCACTTCAAAGATGGGCAACGTATGATCGGCAAAAGGAGGGACGAAGGGAACACAGAAAAAGGAGACACGATCGATAATCAATCTCAATGAAATTTGCACCTCGAGGAGCTAGGAGTAATAGCGCCCGCCGACTCGAAACTCTCCCCTCTCTCTCTTTATCCCTACCCCAACGATCTGGACCACCCCGCCCAGCTGGATTTCCATTGAAAAGCAATTCGTTCTCTGTCAACGAGAGCCTGTCGAGCCAACTGGTTTCGTTTGATACCCACCGGATGATCTCGGAATGGAAATTCAAAGTCGGCGTAAAGGAGAGAGAGGATGAGGATAATAATAACCTCTTTATTATGGCTCCTTGATGATTAATGCCATGGTTGCTTGATCTTTCTCCTGTGATTTGTGAAGGGAGGAAACGTCGTGATTTGTTCTGAACGCGGAAACGAAGAGTATTCTAGACGTCAAGGAGTGATTAATAATTGAAGACATTGCTGTAGTAACCGATCAACAATTCATTGTATGTATTGTATCAATTTTTCCAAAAATATATTTTCATGTATTCAAAATTAATGTAATTATTATAATGATTATTTACTGTACCAATCGCGAACACTCAATGAATTGCTAATGCACTTTACATATATTCATTTAATTAAAATTTAAAAATTATCTGATTTTACAGGGAATGATATTGAAAAATATTGAGAAGTAATTTACCAATATTAAAATTGCATTATTACAATGGAGTCTGAAGAATAATTAGGAGTACATAGGGAGGATTATTGGCAAGCATAATGATTTCCAGCAACTTGTTAATTTCGACAGTGTCTCGTTTAGTAACGCGCGACAATAGCGTCGAGCCATCGCGGAAACTTCGCTCTTAATCTTCTTATGACAAATAATCGCAACTCTCGGCGAGACGTGCTATTAAAGTTCGAGACTTTGTGAGTCTGGCATCGCCGCGACATCACCGGCGCACTTATTGAAAGACCACTAATATCATGTGAATTTAATGATACGTTAAACAAAAAAAATCAATGCACTAGATGGAACAGGAATCCGATGCTTTAATTCATGAGTTTTATTCCGATAAAATACACTGCTCAATTCGATGTCAAATTATACTCTATATATTATAATTTGTAATATTTTAAATCATTTCTAGGTTACCACTGTTCCTATCACGACTGCTCCTACTCAATATGTCATTAATTTAGCAAAACAATGGAATAATTTAACTATTGCTCCTTTAATATTTAAGAGTGTGGTTTCTAGACTTTCATTATGTAATCTTGCAATCCAAAGAATGCAGAGAGTATTACAACGATTGATTAGTATCAAAAATTATATCTCGAAAGCCTTCAGAAATTCTTTATCATGACGTGAGACACTGATAATAAAATAAAAAAATCAAAAATAACGATTTAAAATTGTCTACTGCCTGGTACTTCGGTCTTAACTCTAAAATCCTAAAATTTAGCCAATGAAATGTAGCTAGGATCAATTAAGACTCAGTTCTATTGGCTGATTTTAGGATTTTAGAGTTAAAACCGAAGCATAAATCAAGCATATATAAGGCGATATTTATAATTATTCCTTTAGCACTGAACACATCAATTTATACAGAAATTTTTCTCTAGTCGATTATTTATTTCTCAATACCACTGGAATGCTTTCAAACTTTAGATTAATCTTCTTGCTTCTCGACGTGCATGCGAGACATTCCAGAAATTATGTACAAGCATTCTTCATTCACGTGTTCGCAGGTCGGTACTCCTACGATCATTTTTCATACTCGTCAGTTTAGAATTCACTCGTTTGCAGTAGAATTAACCAAGACGGCGAAAGAATCGATAAAGAGAAGTTTTTAATATTATCGCTTTATATAATTCAGATAATAATTATAATATTCATGTAAAAATAAAAAATATATACATAAAATTCTTTTTATTTCCTTAATAAATCTTTATCTAAATTTTTTATGTATCCCCTCTTTTTGTAATTTTTAATGATTTTACAATATATTCATAAAAAATTCTCATAATATAACTCAAATTCGGAATCTTTTACCGTGTTTCCTCGTTTTATCATGACTATTATTATATTAATACCTTCCGATCACTATCGTCGCTCTTTTGACCTCACGCTATCTATGTTGCAGGAAACACGCGACTTCCGGGACACCCCGCGTGCAAACAATCTCCATTCGAAGCGAAACGATCAACCCTCCGTTACCTCCGAAAAGCCATTATCGTCCATTCTCGGGGGAACGGACGGTCATTGCGCATGCAAACCATATCCAAAACGATTCAAGTCATCAGAGCGATCGACGCGCGCGAAGGACAAAGACACAAAAAAGATCGATTACTCACGTTAACTTCAATCAGCTTCAATCGACAGGCGAATTGAGTGCGGCTTGAGAGACTACTGCCGCCGGGGTTACCGGCAACACTTCCGCTGGAATTGTTGATCGGTACCGTGCCGTTGCTTCCCCCGGTAGAGGATGGTTGAGGCAACGGCGGGCCCTTAGCCGGAAGTAACCCATGGCTGCGATGATCGTTGCCGCCGTGCTTAACTGGTTGGCCAGGATAACCACCCCGACCACCATAAGGCGGTTTGCCGTCGGCAGGTTTGACGAAGCCGCCCCGCTGGTGACTTGCACTCGACGAGGAAGACGCGGCGCTCGTGCCCCGAAGTCCACCAGGCTTCTTGAACTCCGGCCCCGAGGACGGGGAACAGCTTCTGCCAGAGCTGTCCGTGCCCGACTTGTGGGCGGAGGGCGTCGGCGAAGGCGCCGGACTCTGCGGGATGCCACTCTGTTCGATGCCGAACAGGCGCTTAGGCTTATCGAGTAGATGCTTCACCAGCGAATAGTTGCCCAGCTTAGACTGGATTTGTGGATCAGGATTCACCTGAAAAAAGAAAAAGGGTAGAAAAACATTAGTGATGTGAATGAGATCTGTTATTCTATGTCACAACTTGACTTTAACTTCAAATTTTAGATACTTTAAACATGAGAAAAAATAAATAATTTATATTCATTAATGTATTCATTAATGCCTATTAAATTCTTGAAATTGTAAGATTTAATAACATTAAATAACAAATTTTTGCTTCTCAACAAGTAATAGATATTTCTTATAGCTTTTTACATTGAAAAAAGATATGATTTTCAAAAAAATTCCATCAGCCTTTAATTAGAAATTCCAATTTAAATTATTTATGTAACAACGCAAATTTGTAATATATATATATAATTATATATACATATATAATTATAAAAGAGATTTAAATATTTTTTAGAACATATGAAAATAAATATAAAGCCCTTTCATTACTTATGTACAATTTTAAATGAAATATTCAAATAATAAAATTTAGTACAAAATATTTAATGTCAAAATATTAATGATTCTTATGTACAATTTTACTCCGTAAAATAAAAAAAAGGTTGTTAAATTGTTTAAAATTGTAGATTTTTCAAAAATAAAATTCTTAATGTCTTAAAATCTGTAAAAACTATTTTAATTTTTCTTTCTCAGCAGAAAATACATAAAAATCACCATTTATAGTTGAGAAACAAAAATCCTGTAAATTTGTGTAATTAGCTTATACATGTTACTTAAGAGAGTATATAAAGATTAACGTGAGTATATAAAAGCTCGAAAAAGCATTTTCGCATAATCTAGATTTGTTAAATGTCAACAGAAAATCCGTTGTTAATAAGTGTAAACGAAGAAAAAGCTGCGCGGCAAATATCTCGCTCGTATCTTAGCGATAAGATTCTTCGACGGATTACGTTATCAATTAGTGCAGTTTTAATTAGAAAACCACAGGGAAAATTCTCAATTAACTTAACGACCCCATATAAAGCTAATTGCTGCTTAAGCTTTCACCGGGAGAAATTCATTCCGTCGTCGTCGGGAAATCGCGGTGACAAGTTACATCTCAGATGATATACACATAAATAGAACACGATGGTTCGTGAGGGGTAATATAAGGGTGACGACATACATAACGAATCAATCATGTCACGGTGACGCTCTATAAGCAGCCTCAGCTCCCGTCATTTATCAAACAAAGATCGGCGATGAGACGATCACTGAAAATGTAATTACTGAAACCGTCAGTGGCATTCGTATTTCATCCTGTATAATGTGTGTGTGTGTGTGTGTGTGTGTGTGTGTGTGATATTAAATATTAATATATAATAATTGAAAAAATAAATATTTGTTTGGATAGTTATATAAGTAAATATTTACTAAATAAATATATATTTATTTGATACAAAAATCATTAATTTGATTTA